CCCCCCCCCCCCCCCCCCCCCCCAAACCCATTCAATGAAAACACACAGCTCCTCTTCTCTTCTTCTTTTGAAAGTGTGGGATTACAAAGCAAACAGGCAGGAGTAGCTCACCACCCGTAACTATAGCCACAGCCATTGTGGCGAAGCTGCAGTTGAAATTGAAAACCGACACACCCCGCTTCATTGAGAGATTCACCAGGTGAGCTATTTTAGAAAGCTGGTTATTTAGAAGGTTAAAAGTCTGTTGATGTAAACTGAAGTATTTTCTGTTTCCTTATTAAATGAACCTCACAGGTTTGTACAAAAGAGTTACAGTGCTGTTCAAGCAGCACCTCGAGCAAAACAGCTGACCCAAAACAAAACCACAGAGGCGTCATAGTGATTTAAGTGTGAATGTAAACGCTATATGTAATGCTGTGTAACATTGGGCCGTGACTTTATGAATAGGAAACCATACAACCCCAAAGAGAATACATCTACTGTGTGGATAATGAAGATGAATCCTATATTCTTACAATGATGAAATGATAAATTTAGCTATTGACTATATGGCTCCTGACATTTGTATCTAAATTTTACATAGTTACACTAATGTTTTTGGATGTGTGGTGTTGTGTTGAGGGCTGGGAGTCAAGGTGATGTGCCAACTTTCAGGTTTCGTTTTGACGTCAATGCAAACTATGCCAAAGTTTATGTTTGTTTAATCAAAACCACAATAGGCCAGTGCTTAAATCTAAAGTCATGTCAAGTCTTGTGTTGCAGTGGAGGCACATAATTGTAATGGTGTGCTCTTTGGTGACAGAACGAGTCAGCCTCAGTTTAAGCCCAGCCCTGGTATACAGCGCCAGACTGCAGGAGGGGCCAAATGACTCCTTTGGATTCAGGACTGAGAGAAGGGTGAGATATTTAGGAATTAGGTTTTGGTTTTGGACATGACCCTGCCTTGGCTGTCTTGGAGGACGCCTCAGTGGGACAGCTGGACAGTCAATTTTACTTGTGGGAATATGAAGGAATGGAGGAACTCCTCAGTGTTCCTTCACGTATGGAAGCCACTGCCAGAACAAGAGGAAACACTAAAGCTCTGAAGTCAGTCTGGTCAAACGTCATCAGGAGTAGCTGACAACGCCTGTCCATAAAAACTAAATCCTTAAGATACCTCAGTGGAAATCTCTGAATCATCACAGCTGGAAAAACATTGGGATCTACTCTGCACACAGCTGCTCAGGGAACTTTAAACTTTTGTTATAGCTTGTGTCAGTTTGGCCTGGTTTGATCAAAATGCAATGTCATACGCAAGTCTCCTTGTAACCATAGACAGTGACATTCCTCTTGTAGATGCATTCTCTGCTTTCCAGGATGTGTATGTCTCTTTCCTTGTGCTCCCAGGGCTGAACTGGCCTCTCTGTTGTTGCTCTTCGTGTTTGTGTTTCAACACTTAGTGACTATCAGATAACATCCCGCAGACCACGCAGGAGGAGCTGGAGAGGAGCCCTCCAGACCCAGACCTACGTTAAAGGATGGCACACTTAGCAAGGCCATGTTAAGCTGCACACACACAGTGACACTGGTGCTAGACTGCATGCTTACACGGACCGTAAACATGCACCAAATGCACTCACAAAAAGACAAGCTCTCTGATTTTTTCTCCCTGGCTTCAAATGTGACCAGGCCTCAAACTGTAATACGCAATGTCTGCAGCTTATTTTCGAGGGGCTTTACTATCAAATGAATCTCTGCCTGTGTGTGAAAGCAACATGCAGGTCTGTGTGCAAGTGTAAAGCAGGATCATATTAGAGCATCCATGCCGTGCATGCCCCGTCTCACCTCTCCCATTTTAAACTCCGAAGCTCCAAAATGGACCGTGACCGAGCTGAAGATCGCCATTGGTCGGGAGCAAATTCAGAAAAAGCAGGCCAAAATTTTATAGAGGGGAGGGGGCTTTTTCTCTATCCCTTTAAAAACAGGCCTGTCCCTTCTTGTGAAGGAACAACAGCCAAATAAATCAGAGACATACGGCATGACAAACTCCAGATTGTAGCACCCTAGTGATCCTAAACATGTGCTAATCATTAGCCCCCGGCTTCCTGTTGGAGCCGATGTCATCAGCACTCATCCCAACAGGCGAGACCAGCATACAAACTGTTGCATCGAATCAGAGTGAAACTGGCCTCAGGGGTTTGGAATGGAGCAATAAAAGCTATGAAAGAATTTGAATCGCCTTGCTCTCGTTTCTACGGTACTCATTTCTCACAGTTCTACTATCTATGGATACATATCTAAGCTGCACCCGGCACACTCCATGTCAGTTCATTTTAATTCCAATCGAATATGTCAACACTCGTGGTCATATGATTCAGTTGCTGATCTACTCCTAAAATCCCCTTCCACTCCCAGTAATTCTTGTCCTCTTGTTATCAGTGGTTTTCTCATTACAGCTGCGCTGCTATCTTTTCCAAGCGGTGTATCTGCGCTCCTTTAACAGCTAACTGTGCAGCACTTCCTTTACAGGCTGCCAATTCTGACTTTATGCGAAGTAAGGTGCGTTCCAGTGAATATTTTCTTTCCTGAAGTGTTGCCAGCACTTTTGTATATCTGGTCTAACTGGAGAATAAGGAGCTGATTTTAACTCCCTATTAAGTGCGTTATCTAAGGCATTCACTTGTTGTCTAAAGCAAGACGTGTGGCTAGCAGTGGTGAGAGCAGCTCGGGCACACCCTGACGTCATCAAGAGGCTGTTGCGTTAAATGTAAGGCAATGACTACTATTACGTCTGTGTAAAACAGCTGGGAGGTGAGTCAACAGATCATTAGCTTAGGGACAGCTAGTAAACAGCTAGCTGTTGTCTTGTGTGAAAGAAAGGAGGCAAACGAATAAAGGCC